GGAGACAGATGGACGCAGTGGAAGGCCTTCAGGGAGACAGATGGACGCAGTGCAAGGCCTTCAGGGAGACAGATGGACGCAGTGGAAGGCCTTCAGGGAGACAGATGGACGCAGTGCAAGGCCTTCAGGGAGACAGATGGACGCAGTGCAAGGCCTTCAGGGAGACAGATGGACGCAGTGCAAGGCCTTCGACACAGTGGCTACAGCAATGGGCTCAACAGTAACAACTGTGAGGATAGTGCAGGACCAGGCACTGTCCCGTTCTGTTGCACATGGGTCACTATGAGTCGGAACTGACTCAGTGGCACCTCGCCACAGGACAAACATGATGCATGTTCATTGAAGAGAATCTGTAAACTTTTAAGGAAAGATAACACATCACTTGTAACTCCTACCTCCACCGTGCAGACTTCATCAGAGTTAACATTTTGGTACCTCTCTTGGTCTGGTTTTTTTTTTTCTTTTTAATGTGAAAATACAATTTTGCTTTTTTCTATTAAAATAAACATTGTTGTTGTTAGGTGCTGTGGAGCCGGTTTTTGACTCGTAGCCACCCTAGGTGATAGGACAGGGACCGTGTTTCCTATGCCGTGATCTTTATGGGAGTTGATCACCAGGGCTTTCTCCAGGGGAGCGTGTGGATGGTTCTAACCACCGAATACTTCACCGTTGTGTCACCAAAGCTCCTTATGTAAATAATAATAATAAAAAGCCCCCAAACTCACTGCCATCAAGTTGTTTCCAACTCATAGCTGCCCCCATTGACTTTCTGAGACTGTAAATCTTCATGGAAGTAGATCGGCCTGTCTTCCTTCTGTGGAGTGGCTGGTGGGTTTGAACCACTGACCTTCTGGTTAGCAATCAAGTGCTTTATCCACTACCCACCAGAGCTCCGTCCTTATATAAGTAGCATCATAATATATACTGGCTGTTGATTCCAGACTGTCGAGAGCCCTGGAGACTGGATGAACCCCCAAACCTCGCCCTGAAACCATCTTTAAACCTTAAACCAAAAACATCCCCTAAAGTCTGCTTCAGCTCCGACTTACCCCGACTGAAACACTGCCTGGTCGCACCATCCTCAGGATTCTTTCCATACCAAACAATAGTTTAGCTTAGCTAGTGAGGGATGTCTGTCCTGAGCTTTGTGCTGTCTTAGATAATCACAACTTGAAAGATTAGACAAGCAGCTTAGGGGGTCGTGAGCTGATGTTAGTGGGGGAGGGACAACTCAGAAATGGCGAGTGAGCGCAGGTGCACAACTGAAGAGGGCCGTCAGTGCTACTGAATTGGCCATGTCAGGACCGTTGGAGGGCTGGGTGTGTGTCTTGCAACAGCAAAGTAAGGTGTATATGGAGAGTGAGCGCTTCCCTGGTTTTCTAGTCTTCAAGATTATTTCCATGATTGGTGGATTCCAGCTGTCATGCATTAATTCATTATTTAGTTAACGTGACTTGCCATTTTCCTCCAGTTCCCACCCTTACAACAGCCCATCGGCATCCTCCCAGATACAGCTTGCCCGCTTACTGTACTACAGCAGCACACTGCTGAACGTGTGAATTTGTGGAAAACTCTCAGGACATTTCCTCAACCCGTAACTGAAAATTCTTATCTCTGAAGAAACAGGAAGTTTCCAAATGTGTTGGCTTGTTTGTCTGTCTGAGCAGACGCTCAGCTCCTCGGGGCAGGGGTGCATCTTGTTTGCTGCTGGGTCTCAGCACAGGGCATGGCCCTCACTCGTGTTCAGTGAATGTTCACTGAATGAGCAGGTGGGGAAATGAATGAATAATACTGTTAGAAAAAACTTAGACGTGGAATTACTTTCTTTACTAATGTTTTCCAAATTAGTAATTTTCTTCTAGACTTTTAGCTGTAATTTGTGCTGATTTTTGTTTCTTGGCTGCTTTTCAAAACCAGATGATGGATTTCTTTCTTTTGTTTTCGGTAACTGGTGTTGAGATTTAACTCACAGACCATACAATTCACCCACTTAAAATGTGCAATTTAAAGGACTCCTAGTACGTTCACAGGGTTGTGCAGCCCTCCCCACAGTTGATGTCAGCACACTTCATCACCCTGCCCCTGTCCCACCCCACCTCTGGCACCCGGTCCCTGGCCATCTTAACCTACTCTCTGTGATATGTTTATTCCCTTTGGAGCTCACAAGTACTTAGGAGCTTGTGGGAGTAGCAAGAGTCTCACTTCTCCTCTTCTGAGATGCTTGACGAATCCCAGAAGCACTCTCTGTACCCCTACTGCTGTCAGTCTCTGCAATGGCCGCTTTTTTGTTTACCTGTCTGGCTCCTGGCTTCTGTTCCTTTGTTTGTTTCTTACTTCATGGAAGAAAGATGCTACTCTGACATCTGTCACCCCATCTGAATGTTGAAGTAAAAGTCTTGGTCCCTCTGATAGTCAGCCCCCATGTCTTTGGGCTGCCTTGGTGGTGGTCCCTCTGATGGTCAGTAGCCATGTCCTTGGTCCTCCTTAGTGGTGGTCACCCTGATGGTCAGCAGCCATGTCCCTGGTCCTCCTTGGTGGTGGTCCCTCTGATGGTCAGTGACCATGTCATTCCCCATGTGTGCCGCCTTCTGCCTCATTCAGCTGCCATTTGAAAACATTTCTTTTTCTGTGTTTCCATTTTCTCTTTAGTGTTTGAAGCATTTTCTTCTTCAAATGTCATTATGTAGTTCTTCCAGAATGTCTCCAGATGGGCACGTCTCTGCTATGGAACCCTCTCTGCTCCTAGCTGGGGCTACGCTTCTTTTCATCTTTGGACTATTTCCATTTTTTTTTGATCGATCAAACATGTCCCATCAGAGGGAATCTGTAGTCTCTCATTGAGCTTTCTCAGATTTCTTCCTTTGTTCATTACTTTTAATCCTCTAACCTAAACTCCCTAGCTCTAAATTTACTGTTTGCTTCTAAGCAGAAATGCATTCTACTAAAAGACACCTTCTGCCAAAGCCCAAGACTATTCCTCACCTTTGTGCCGAGAGGTGGTGTGAAGACTAGGAAGCCATTCCACTCATGAAATAGACGTGCTTCTGAAGTCTGCGTAAATTACACGTGTCGATCAGCTCACATGAAATCAAGCTCTAAGGTGAGCTCTCTGATAAGGCCTTCTCTGGTGGACTTCTGCACTGTACCAGTTAGATGCTGCTTTACCTGTTTGGTTGGGGGGAGGTGTTCAGACACTGGAGTTTCCTAATCTGTTCTTTCCTCTGGCTGCTAAACTGACTGAATGGGTGGGGCTAGCACAGCTTGTGTGTTTTCACATCTACCTACTTCCAGAATCCATGCCTAAGTGGCTGATTTACATTACACTTCCCAATATGGCTTTTGTTATGAAACGCTGATGACTCAGGCATCCCCAGGATGCCCTCTTTCACTGCCTGTATCAATCCTCCCTTATGAATCCAACACTAGATTTTGCAAGAGTCACGCTCCTAGGAAATAGGTTCAAATTTGATAAATAAATGTTTTAAATTACTTGGTTGCTTACTCCCCTGTGGTATGCTGTAATTAGCATCTGGGTGATTAGGGTTTGCTTGTTTGCCCTGAATTAGATGGCATGGATGACATTCTGAACAAAAAAGCTACTGTTGTCTTTTGTGAAGGGTGGGATTGCTGGGCCATTGAGGTGCCTGGGGACACATCATTACCTTTATCTGAACCAACAAATATTTGCTCACCTGCTCAGTGCCACGTGTGCTGGATGCTACAGTTCCTAAAAGACGATTGTCATGGGATGAATTGTGTCCCCCCAAAATTCATGTCAACTTGGCTGAACCATGATTCTCATTGGCAGTTATGTACTGATGTAATCACCCTCCCCCCGCCCTGATGTGATCTGATGTGATAAGCCAGTCGGCAGTAAGGGGGTTAGGGTAGGATGCAACACCCTAATTCAGATCACAGCCCTGACCCCATGCAAGGGGAGCTTCCCTGGGGTATGGCCTGTATCACCTTTTGTCTTACAAGATACGAAAGGAGAGAGAAGCAAGCAGACAGGAGGAACCTATTACCACAAAGAAAGGAGAGCGCGGAGTGAAGCACATCCTTTGGACCCTAGGTCCCTTTGCTGAGAACCTCCTAGACTCAGAGGAAGATCTCCGAGGAATGCTGGGCCCACAGAAGAAGGGAGACAAGGACCTTCCCCCAGTGCCAGGAGACAGAAAGAAAGCCTCCCACTAGAGCTGGCACCCTGGATCTGGACTTGTAGCCGCCTAAACTGTGAGACAATAAACTTCTGTTTGGTAAAACCATTCACTGTGGTACTTCTGTTAGAACAGCTCAAGAGAATTAAGACTGATTGACATGGATCCTGCTGCCCTGAGAGGTTGCAGACACTGCTCCATGGGATGAGTTGGGCTGAAAAGCAGACCAGGAGAATGACAAGCAGACCAGGAGAACGACTGGAAATTAACACCCCAGCAACTGTGAAGAGGAAGGGCCACACTCATCGGTTCCAGCTCCTCTGAAACTGAGCTTTTAATGCTTCCATCCCAAACGTCACCCTCCTGGCTGCTCTCCTGGTTCCAGCCACCACCTTTCCTGCCTGCATGATTGCTGATGCCTTCTCACTGACCCCCATCCCCACCCCACCCCTTCCTGCCTGCTGCCAGCGCCTTTTTGATGCATGCCTCTGACGTGATCAAGGCTGCTGGCCAAGCACACTCACCGTGTGTTCCAGCATCACCCCGTACTGACTGGGCGGGTCCTTCCGGGCACGGTAGCCTACAGACAGGCTGCATTTGGATGTAGCTTGATGATGGGAGGCATGCTCCCGGGCACCATCCAGGGAGGAGCGGGGAGCCCACAGCAGGGGACCATCTGGTCCCTCCAGTTCTGGGGGAGGCTCCCGCCTGTTAGGAATCAGACCACACACGGGGAAAGGCCTGTAGTTACACATTCCGCCGAGGGGCACGATTCCACGTACAGGTCCAACACGTCTCTTCATCCCCATAGCTACCCACACCTTCCTTGTGTTGTGCTGCAATTATACAGATTTCTGAAGAAAAAGTTTAAAGTGACATTTTTTCGGTAGACTGGACATATTTTTTGCATAATAAGCAAATAATTTGAAGTTTTGAAAAATGGAGGATGGCATGAACTATTGTCCACTGGATGTCATCGACTACAATTTTTCTTCCATTTTGTAATCAATTGGTTGAAAATTATTCTGTCAGGCAATTAAAATAAAGCCAAAAACCTCACTGCCTGACTCATAGCACCCCTAGAGGACAGAGTAGAACTGCCTCACAGGGTTTCCACTACTGTCAATCATTATGGAAGCAGACTGCTTAATCTTTCTCCCTAGGAGCAGCTGGTGGGTTTGAACGGCCGACCATTTGATTCACAGCTGAATGCTTTAACACTGCCACCAGGGCTCCTCGTTGGGCAATTAGGGAGACAGGAGAGAGCAACACCTCTTTCTCTGTGCCTACCTCTCTCTTGGAGAAGCGACCTCTTGCCCTCTTGGCTGTTGGTTTTCTAATTGCACTTGGTATCAGCAAAGTGTTGGATAGATGCTTGAAAGAGTCGACCAGGTGCTTCAACAGCCAATGAAGAGAGAGAGTGGTGTATTAGGTAATGAGCCCAGAAATGGTTTTATCTACCGCAGCTCAAAAGTGTTTCAGCAGAAATATGACACTACCGACAGGAAATTGTCAGAATTTACCTACACCGGAACCGGGGGCCCATGTGAAGAGCAGGGAGAGGCCAGTGGAAGGCATATATAGGGCTGTGACTTCAGGACCAATACAGCTGGGGCCTCACCTTTCTTGTTGGTGCATTGGCTCTGGCCCATGGTGGCCCATACACAATAGGGCAGAGCACTGCTTGGCCCCCACCATCTTCCTGTCACTGACGTGCTGTCTGGTGTAACCCTGGGAGTCCTGAGTAGCAACCCTGTTGTCCCCACATGCTGTGAGAGAGCAATGCAACCACAGAGGGCCGTCCCAGCTGGGCTTTGGGCAGGGCCCCGTCACTATCGCCAAGGCCCGGGCCGTCAAGTGCTGTGGTCTCAGAACTGCTCTGTAAGCTGCGCTTCCTGTGGCCCCAGTGCCAGCATGGCCCCCAGCACACGGCACAAGGAGGCGAGCCCTTTTCTGGAGTCAGGTACAGGCTGTCTGCTGAGGCCACACTGTTTTGTACCCACAGTGTCCGCTCACCGGACGGCAAGGGCCAGGATGGCCTCATGCACCCACCATAGCAATCCGCCTCGGAGAGCATCCTGCCCTCTGCAATTGGCTGTGATTCAGCGTGAGCATGACCATGCTCGGGCACTTGCTTTCCCGTCTGTGTCAGGGAAGGGAGGCAGCCTTACTGGGTGATCCCACCTCCCAGCCCCCCTAGGGAGGTGTGTACAGAGAGGCTCCATCCTCAGAGGCTGCGACAACAAGCCCTTCCTCAGGCAGCTTGACTTTCAGTTTCAAAACCCTTCTCAGCAGTTCCTCCCCTGCTGGGGTTTGCTTCTTAGACCAAGGATTTATTTGTTTTATTTGTTTGCTGTCTGAGAGTATTTAAGAGAGACACTTTCCAGAGGACTGAACAGAAGGCTGGAAAAAAAAACAAAACAAAACAGAAATTTCAGAAAGCATTTGGAAAAGGTCTCAGCCTCACAGAAAGAATGCAAATGAAGCTACAGACCCTTTGTTCTACAGAGTTAGGACAGCACCCTGACCCCCAGCTATCCTTGTGGACATCTACCTGAAGAATAAACCGAAGAGTTCATAAGGCTGCAGGTCCCAGAATGCTTAAACCAAACAACCAAACTCACTGCCATCGAGCCAATTCCGACTCATAGCAACCCTCTTTGGGTTTCCAAGGCAGTAAATTGTTACAGGAATAGATTGCCCAGTCTTCCTTGTTTGGTTGGTGGTTTGAACTGCCAACCTTCTAATTAGCAGTCAAGTGCCTTGGGCACTGTGCCACCAGAGCGCTCTCCCAGAATGCTTATAGGACCTATATTCACAGTATTGGAGAAAACAAGAAACTGCAGACATGCAGCAACAGTCACCTGGTGTGGATTCTGGTCCATCCGCACGGCCCACAGAGCACCATGGAGCCATCGCCCACCTGGCACATGGAGCACCATGGAGCCATCAACAAGATATCAAAGAAGCTTTAACAGCCTTGGAAGTGACTCACAGCATCATGTTAGATAGAAGGTGGGGAGTACAGTGTGATGTCAGGGGTCACTGAGTGGCTACTAACTTAAAGGCTGGTGGTTCCAACTCACTAAGCAGCTCTGCAGAAGAAAGGCCTGGTGCTCTGTTCATGGTTACAGCTGAGATAATCCCGTGGAGCAGTCCCACCCTGTCACATGGGCACCAAGAGTTGACTCGGTGGCAACAAGTTTATTTTCTTTTTCCCTCTTTCAAATAGCGTGATGTCAGTTTTATAAAATCCAGCGAACACGTATCTGTGCACAATGGTTAACTCCAGACTCCAGCCAGGCCGGGTTGGAATAGTGCATTTGCCTGTCCATTTCAGGCCTAGTAAGCAAATGCAATATTCCAAACCGGCCTGGCTGGAGTCTGGGGTTAACCACTGTGCACACATATGTGTTCACTGGATTTTATAAACTTTCATCACACCATAAAAAAACAAAACAACAACAACAAAAAAAAAAAAAACACCCAAGTGGATTAGTATTGGCCATTCTGAATCAGATAATCACATGGTCTACTATGCTGGGAATGACAAATTGAAGTGGAATGGCGTCATATTCATCATCAAACAGAACATCTCAAGATCTGTCCTGAAGTACAATGCTGTCAATGAGAGGATAATATCCATACACCTACAAGGACCAGTTAATACTATCATTATTCAAATTTATGTACCAGCCACAAAGGTAAAAGATGAAGAAATTAAAGATTTTTACCAGCTTCTGCCATCTGAAATTGACCAAATATTCAGTTAAGATACATTGATAATTATTGGTGATTGGAATGTGAAAGTTGGAAACAAAGAAGAATTATTGGTAGTTGGAAAATATGGCCTTGGTGATAGAAATGACAATGGAAATTGCATGATAGAATTTTGCAAGATCAACAACTTACTCATTGCAAATAATTTTTCAATAATATAAATGGTGGCAATACACATGAATCTTGCAGATAGAGTACACAGGAATCAGATTGATTACACCTGTGGAAAGAGGCATTGGAGAAGCTCAATATCATTAGTCAAAACAGAACCAGGAGCTTAGTGTGGAGCAGACCACCAACTGCTCACATGCAAGTTCAAGTTCAAGTTCAAGTTGAAGACAATTAAAATAAGTTCACAAGAGTCAAAATATGACCTTGATTATACCCCACCTGCATTTAGAGACCATCTGAGGAATAGATTTGATGCATTGAACGCCTATGACCAAAAACCAGAAGAATTATGGGATGACATCAACAGCATCATCCATGAAGAAAGCAAACAGTCATTAAAAAGACAGGAAAGGAAAAACAAAAACCAAAATGGATGTCAGAAGAGACTCTGAAAGTTGCTCTTGAATGAAGGGTAGCTAAAGCAAATGGAAGAAATGACAAAATAAAGGAGCTGAACAGAAGATTTCAAAGGGCAGCTCAAGAAGACAAAGTCAATTATTATAATGAAATGTGCAAAGACATGGAGTTGGTAAGCCAAAAGGGGAGAACACACTAAGCATTTCTCAAGCTGAAAGAACTGTAGAGAAAAACCAAGACTTGAGCTGCAATATTGAAGGATTCTATGGGTAAAATGTTGAACAATGCAAAAAGCATCAAAAGAAGATGGAAGGAATAAAGAGTCACTGTACCAAAAAGAATTGGTCGATGTTCATCTGTTTCAGGAGGTGACATATGATAAAGAGCCAATGGTATTGAAGGAAGAAGTCAAAGCAGGACAGAAGGAATTGGTGAAAAACAAGACTCCAGGAATTGATGGAATGCCCATTGAGATGTTTCAACAAACAGATGCCTCACTGGAGACACTCACTTGGTTATGCCAAGAGACTTGGAAGACAACTACCTGGACCACTGACTGGAAGAAATCCATATTTATGCCCATTCCAAAGAAAGGTGATCCCACAGACTGTGGAAATTATCAAACAGTATCATTAATATCTCACACAAGTAAAATCTTACTGAAGATAATTAAAAAAAGGTTGTAGCAGTATATCAGGGAACTTCTAGAAATTTAAGCCAGATTCAGAAGAGGATGTGGAATGGGGGATATCATTGCTGATGTCAGATGGCTCTTAGCTGAAAGCAAAGAATACCAGAAAGATATCTACCTGTGTTTTATTGACTATGCAAAGGCATTTGACTGTGTGGATCTTAACAAATTATGGATAACATTATAAAGAATGGGAATGCCAGAACACTGAATTGTGTGTGTGACACTTAATTGTGGTGTCCCATGCACTGCAGGATGTTGAGCAGCATCCCTTGTGTACACCCACTCAATGCCTATGCCACTCCTACCAAGTAGTGACAAAAAAAGTCATGGGGGAGGTGGATAAGAGAGCTCTGTTGGAATAAATATGGGGCAGGCTGTGCTGTAGAAGCTTCAAGTCTCTTGGACGTAGAGACCAGTGGCTCTCATGTCACAGGTAAGGCAGGCAAGGACTGTGTCAAATACAGCCCTAGGGGGAAGGCAGAGCCCTGGTGTGTCTCCTTTGCTTGCAGCTGACAGCTGACTGCAAGGGGGAAATGCTACCCTGCCACATGGGGAGAAGATGAGGAACTTGCTGGGCTTTTGGGAACTGCCTCTGCGCTCCCTCCCCCCAGACACACAGCAGCTCCCCGACAAGATACCACAGCTCCAGCAAATGAATTGCCCCCGATAGTCCTGCAAATTCTCAAGCCTCTAAAATGGGAATTCCAGAAGCTGAAAATAGAGCTGCAAGATGTTCTGGGTAATGAATGCAGG